AAGTGCTATATCCGAAATCGCCTCGCCCTAGATCAACTCCAATACTCACCCCAAAAGAAATACTAAACTGTATGTCAGATATGAGGAATTTACAGACATGTTGCGCTTTGAACTTCCGGGCAGCAACCTGAGCAGTTCGTGTGAAAGTAGAAGAGCTCGACTAGTACCGCATTGCTGTCTAATAAATACTACAACCATTCACTGATATATTGAAAAGGCTCTGATAATGGTAGTATTGTTACTAGCAGAATATAAATATTCAGCGACAACCTTTGACCTAAGAGTGACAGTTCTAGAAACATTTACGGGAGCATACCTATCACAAATTGAAGCTCATGTAAATCAAGAGAATATGGGATTGGATTTCGAGTAACAAGATCGTTTGGGATTAGAGACTAGTCAGCGAGATTCATGATCAACTTCAATTCTGCATTTCCCCTGGTAGTCTGAAAATATATGAAGCGGTCTTGTGTTACGAGATTCTCGTAGGTCATTATGTGGGCGCTAAAAACCCGAAGGTAGTACTTTTATATGACATCAGTGACTCTAGTACGATCTTGTCGTATCAATCTGTGCGACAGAGTCCCGCAAGATTTGTTACGAATCGAGAGATATCCTTAGAGGGAGGGTGTAATAATATAGGACATATGCGCGCTTGCTCTGCCCCTGTAAATGCAAACTTTCGGATGAAGGCGGTAGTCTAAGCAGGGTAGTAGGCCAAGTTATGCCATAAAACTCCCAGCACTCCTGCTGAAATATCAAACCTTTAAGTCCAAGAGAGGGTTGAGGCCCTTCATGTGGTGTGCTTCGAGGAGAGGGTGTGGCTCGGTGTGGCTAGCTCGCTCGTAATAATATCTAGATTTACAAGGCAAAAATAAGAGCTAGGATGCTCGGGCTACCCTTTCCTCCTTTCCTGGAAGTAAACAGAAGCAACAACGGTTGGGATAAGCTCGGAAAGCTACTGATTGGTTGTGTAAGAACTTACTTCCCAATGTGCGGAAACAAAATCACTGCTTGGAACACAAAGAAAAGATTTTAGATATTCATAAATAACACATTTTGTTAGATCGTTATTAGATCCTCTCATATTGATGTTTTGCGAAGGAGCTAATTTCCGTTAAGATGAGGGGTAGTTAACTCGTCGAGGCCAAGTGGAGGAAGAAAATGTAAGTAGTTGGGCACCAACCAACGCTGCCCAGGGGAGAAAGGCAAACGTCATAAAGAACAAATGCACATAGAACTACGGAAGTCCTTGCTCCCATGATGGTGATGTGGCTTTCGCATAAGGCGGAGGTTCGTTGTTGGAACATAAGCGAAAGTTGCCCCGCCATGGCGTCAAACACGATAAGGTGTTCACGTGATATCGATTCATCTGCAATAGATTTTGCTATATGTTGCGCAGTTATTGAGGACAGATTTGAGTTTGCAGAAGGAGGATAGCTTGCCAGAGGAATGAGGCTGAAATTTTGTAGGTTTGCATACCTGTTTCGCAAATTCTTAGTCGGCGAATGTGCAAGAATCATCTCGAATCTCGAGGTGGTTTGAAGAAGGCGGTGGAACCACTAGCGAGGGTGTGTTGTGCGCGGTGCCTTGCCTTTCAACAGCGTCAGAAAATTTAAGGCGGAAAACAAAAGATTTGAAAACAAGAACAAGTGCGAGTCCAACATCTCTTGCTGCACCTTTTCTCGATCTCTATTGTCGTTCCCCCTCTCTGCGACACTTTTCACACCCTCCCATAGATTACCAAGGAACAGCCGCGAAAATGAGTGGTATGTCAACAATTTCCCTCCCCCACCACAGCCTCTTCGATCTCTGCTAACATTACGCTCCTCTTAGTGTAAGTAATGCCCAAATCCCTTATTGCTCGAATATCTGGTATACATCTGGGCACACCCGGAAAGCCGATGTCTCAGACCCCGCATCCTCGATTGATTATGATCTGGAGGTTTGACAAGTATTCGCTGCTTCAGCCGTGTCGCAACATACGTCAGGCTTGTGCTAACTAGATTCACCTGAACAGCGTCGGCGTAGATTTAGGAAATTTGTTCACAAAGATTGCTGTGGCCCGAAACCGAGGCGTTGATGTTGTATGTAAAGGTTCACTATCCTGAGCTCGGCCGAAAATACTAACTGGTGACAGATCACAAATGAGGTCTCCAATCGAGCGACACCGTAGGTTAAGCTCTATCCCGATCTACATACTCTTCATAGCTAACACCTAAATAGTTCTCTGGTAGGATTCGGACCAAAATCTCGTTACCTCGGCGAGTCTGCAAAGACACAAGAGATTTCTAACCTCAAGAATACCGTCGGATCGTTGAAACGACTGGCAGGAAGAAGTTTGACCGATCCAGATGTCCAAGTCGAACAACAATTTGTTTCTGCGCCCCTCGTTGATATCAATGGCCAAGTCGGAGCAGAGGTTACATATCTGGGGAAGAAGGAAAAATATACCGCCACACAACTCGTTGCTATGTATTTGGGAAAGATTAAGACCACAGCTTCTGTAGAATTGAAGCTCCCTGTCTCTGATTTGGTCATGAGTGTACCAGCTTGGTTCACCGATGTTCAGCGAAGGGCACTTATGGATGCAGCAGAAATTGCTGGATTGAAGCTTCTTCGATTGATGAACGATACCACTGCTGCTGCTTTGGGTTACGGTATCACCAAGACTGATCTCCCAACCGCCGAGGAGAAGCCAAGACGCGTTGCATTCATCGATATTGGATACAGCAACTACACCTGCTCCATTGTTGAATTTAAGAAGGGCGAGCTTGCTGTTAAGTCTACAGCTTATGACCGCCATTTCGGTGGACGTGATTTTGATAAGGCATTGGTGGAACATTTTGCGGCCGAATTCAAGGAGAAATACAAGATCGACATCAAGTCAAACCCAAAGGCAATGGTCCGAGTCGCCGCTGCTGCAGAAAAGTTGAAGAAGATTCTTTCAGCCAACCAGCAAGCCCCAATGAATATCGAGTCCCTGATGAACGATATTGATGTCCAAGCAATGATGACCCGTGAGGAGCTGGAGAAACTTGTTGAGCCTTTGCTCAAGCGTGTCCACGTTCCTTTGGAACAGGCATTGGCTGAGGCCAAGATAAATAAGGAAGATGTGGACATTATTGAGCTTGTTGGTGGCTGTACTCGTGTTCCAGCACTGAAAGAGCGTATACAAGAGTTCTTCGGCAAGGGTCTCTCTTTCACTCTCAACCAGGATGAGGCTATTGCTCGTGGGTGCGCTTTCAGCTGCGCTATCCTGTCACCTGTCTTCCGCGTCCGCGATTTTGCCATCCATGATATCGTTAACTACCCAATCGAGTTCACCTGGGAGAAATCACCAGACATTCCTGACGAAGATACCAGCCTCACGGTTTTCAACAAGGGCAATGTCATGCCATCTACCAAGATTCTGACATTTTATCGCAAGGAGCCTTTCCAATTGGAGGCTAAATACGCCAATCCTGAAATGCTTCCCGGAAAGACAAATCCATGGATTGGTCGATTCTCTGTCAAGAACGTGAAGGCTGATTCCAAGGATGATTTCATGATTTGCAAGTTGAAAGCACGTTTGAACTTGCACGGAATCTTGAATGTCGAGCAGGGTTACTTTGTGGAAGATATGGAGGTCGAGGAGCCAATACCAGAAGATAAGGATGCTGAGAAGAAGGAGGGAGATAAGAAAGACCCAGATGTGAGTTGCAACAGACATCCAGCGTCAGACGAAGATCACACTTCAAACGAACTTCCTGCGGGCAAACGCCCTCGACTTGATGAAAGTATACTGACACAAAACAAGGCTATGGACACCGACGAAAAGCCAAAGACCCGTAAAGTCAAGAAGCAAGTCCGAAAGGGTGACCTTCCAATCGTTTCAGGCACATCTTCTCTCGAGCCGAGTGCCGTGGTTGCCGCTGCGGAGGCAGAATCTGCTATGATTATGGAGGACAAACTTGTTGCAGATACGGAGGAGAAGAAAAATGAGCTTGAGACCTACATCTATGAGATGAGAAACAAGATCGATGACCAATACTCAGAGTTTGCTAGCGAAGATGAGAAGACTAAGTTAAAGGCGAAGCTCGAAGCCAGTGAGGTAGGCATTCCCAAAACTGACTTTCACCGACATGAAACTAATTTTAACAGGACTGGCTTTATGATGAGGGCGAGGATGCCTCAAAGGCAGTCTACATTGCCAAGATGGACGAGATCCGTGCAGTAGCAGGACCGATTGTTCAGAGATATTTTGACAAAGTTGAGGCCGAGCGTGCTGAGCAACGAGCCGTTGAGGAAGCCGAAGCCCAACGAAAGCGAGAAATGGCCGAGGCTGCCAAGCAGGCCGCCATGGCTCAAGAGGCTGCTTCCAAGGATGAGGTGATGACAGATGCTGAGGCCACAAACCCCGACGAGCTGGCTGAGCCAGAAGATAAGTGAGGAGGGATCATGAATGAAACGAGCAACAACGACTTGACGATGGGGTGGGCACTATGCATTCGGGGGATCATTACCGGATTTTCTGACGGTCTGGCAAAGCCATTCGGATTGGCTTCCTTACCCGCGATACTCGGAAGCATGTTAAAGATTTGCTGAATTGTTCTCCATGCAGTGCGTTTATAGATGGCGATGCTAGCAAGAATAGAACCCAAACCTCGTAAAAAGCTCATAGACAGCAAGTACATGGATCATCTTAAGAAATCTCGATCATACTTGAAAACTAATGTGAGCGTGTGCTGGGAATGTAGAATAGACTGAACTGCCATAATTTTAATCCCCAAGTCCTCCCCCGATTCTGTACGGCAAAAGAGTAAAAGCCATTCGGGATATTTCTAAGAACAAAGTTACCAACCCTCTCCCCTTCCTCCTAAACGCTAGAACTATTCTTCAACTCTGTCTCGCTCACTTGTCAGATCTAGTGACTGCGAAAGCTCCCCAGATCTTGTGAAGACGACGTGCTGCCATCGATATAAGATTTTGAGGGGATACAAAATTGTAAAAAAGTAAATTTCCGGTGCGGGGAATTGAACCCCGATCCCCTGCGCTCCATGTCATAGACTTTGAAAGGCAAGTATGCTAACCATTACACCACACCGGATGAAACGTGATTGTTTGCTTGAATTGTGGAAGCAGTGATGCAAATTAAGCTTATTACTAGAGTTAAGAAGTGGGTCAGAAGGTGGATTTAGATGATTTGAGTGGTGGGGGACGAGTGAGTCAACAAACTCGATCGAATGAGGTTAGGCAGCTAAGCATGGTAGGAAATTATAATCCTTAACAGCTTACGTATTAAGTATTATAAGAAAATGTTTAGTATCATTTTAGCACTATAGAATATATGGTGTGATCTACAGTGGCTCTTGGGTTTTAGGCAAGTTCCCTTTCGTGCGAGTACTCACTAACCTCCGTGTTCTTTATCAAATATTTTCTTTTGAATATAAATACGTATTGACACTATTTTCCTTTATGGGGATCACAAAGAGTAGATGGCAGGAAGGAAACTCCATGCTAATAGTGTGACTTTTTAAAAGCAAGGAGCACGTTCGATCTTCTGCTGAATTGGCTTAAACATACCTGTGCAAGTACTTCTATATTAGTTGATTCATATGAGTTACACTCGTAATTCCTAAGAGGAGACGCACTAAACATCTAGCGCTGTTCTCTAAATCACTCTAATCTTGAAAGAAACTACTATTACTTGCTTAGTTGACTGATATAAAACGCATGAAAGAAATCATTTGTCGATCAAGGATGTCAAATAAGTGATGACTCCTAGCGTCACCTTAGCCAGTCTAGCGCCCATAACCACCATTCCATAATATAAATAGCAAAACGCACGTATAGTTTCTGAAGAATCAATCAATACATTTCCAATCATACTCACCTGTGTAATTGGCAAGCAATTCAGCCTCATATATTCCCCCTAAGCCAACAATGGAGAAAGCCTTCAAGGCATTATCTTTCTTCCGATAGGATGTAGCAAAGGAGTGATCTTATACTAGAGTTAGTTGTCCATAGAGCTAGCCCTGTAAATATCACACCAACATAAGTAGAGATGTGCTTTTACTTCTTTTATATAGTAATATAAATTTCTATGGTTTGGATACAGATAGAGCAATCTTGCCGCTATTCTGTAATTTTTGTTGTCATTTTCGATGACACTGTCAGAATTTTCCCGCCAGGTGTCCAGAGATGAGCATGAATTTGGCCTTCCTTGTAGGAAATGTCCACTTCTAAGTTTACAATTTATATGTTTTTGAAATATAATAAATTCTAGAAAAATTCTTTCATATTTTTGATCCAAAGCCCTTTTAGTGTACTAGGCATTGATACCACATCTGATTTGGGTTGTACAATTGCTTAATACCTTGGAGTTTTTGATTGCTTTTGGTAATAAGCTAGCTCTATGGGGTTCATTGCAGGTTTTCTTGGAAATAAGTGGTCAGAAGTTTTTACTTATTACATTGGTGAAAGACGTTGGTCAAACTTTATAGGCTAGAGTAGATTTCCAACAAGAACCAGCTAGGTCAACTGTATACTTTGAAACTTCGTAGAATTGGACGGGAAATAAAGGCTCTGCTAGTAGGCTAAGACACGAGAAGGCCAAATAAGGTTCATACATCACAGAAGAATCAAGAAAGTTGCACGGCTCGGCCTCAAATTGTAAGGAAATATTACAACCAATTGGATGTAATTACCCGTGGTCCTAGGAGCATGGAGAAATGGGAAATGGCTTAAAGTATAATCCTATTCAGAGGGTGTGAGACCACTAGAGGAAATTGGGTCATCCGCACAACCCCCCATAGTAGGCTCATCCTTGTGAAAGATTCTGATCATGTACTCGAGTATGAGCTGAAGATGAAACTTCCAGAAGAACCTGAGAGGAGAACACGCACTATTGTGAGCAAGTTTTATTTAGAGAAATGAGAGTGTTAGGACAGCCATAGGGAAATAACAGTAAACAATACTTGACGAGAAGATACCGATCGACAAAATGCATTTTAGAATCTCCTAACTATAAGAGCCCACGTAGGACTAGCCGCTGACGTCGAGAGGGAATTCAAAAGAAATCAATAACTAGATTTATCCAGATGAAGCCCAAGCTCTTTACCCTTCGTTCACTTTTTGTGCCTTCCTTAATGACTTTGGATTGGATAAAATCCATAGAAATTGGATCCCAAATGGTACCTATACAAAGAATAGTCAGTCTTGCCTGTCAGCTTCGCTCTTGGGGTAAGGGTGACATGACGGGGAACGCACCTTGTGAGTTCTTAGAGGGTGTAAGCGAAGGCGAACATTTCCCGCAAAACAGGTAAAATAATGATAAGATACTGAAGTTTACAAAGACACGGTACTGGTTGATGATGTAGGGATTTTCGAATTATACATGGCCGCAGAACAGGTGAAGCCCCTCACGATGAAGAACACATATTCATTGTATATATAGACTTTGACACTAGCACCAAAGATAGCACAACAAAAATTTCTAAACCTATACAGGAAAGAAGCTAGGATATTCCTTCAAAATCTCAAGAAGTGGGGAATGCCCTAGTTGGTATATTGAAAGCTTTGAGCAGGTGAGGAAGAATTTCTGGAACTCAAAGTTGGATACTGTATCGGAAGTAGGAAGTAGATATTTTCGATACATGCTCTAAGGACTCCGACATACATAGCTGTCTAAATTTATGCTTATCGTAACTTAGCTCACTTAAGGTCCAAGCACATGATAGACACTTGCCATCGTATTGATTAGAGACAAACCAAAGATACAAGTAGAGCAGGTCAAAAATATCGCATGCTAGTACATGCACCACAAGATCACAAGCCAATACACAAAGGTGCTTCCAATATTTCTCAAGATATACTGACCTGAAAATAGCCTGTATACGCCGAACCCGCTATTAACTAGCTATACAAGGGATTACATATTTTTCCCTTTCCTTTTCCTCGCCCTCCTTATTACCGCTCACTCTCTTACAACCCCGGCTTCCCCAACGCAGCCTCAGCTGCTACTTTCGCCTCCATCTTCCTCCTCGCCGCCAGAATCATCTCCTCTCTCCTCCTCTGCAACAACGCCTGTCGCTCACCTTTATTCGCACTCCAAGCCTGCCCTTGTTTCTTCGTTTCTTCTTCAGGTGGGGTGGAAGAGGTGGATTGTTCTTCAAGCTTGGATTTAAGGTTGTAGCGCGTTATCAGGTCAGGTTGGAGGGCTTTGGTTTGTGTGGGGGTACTGGAAGAGGGTGTAGAGGAGGCGGAAGCGGGGAGGGGAGGCTGGAAAGATTGTGGTGGCTATTTGCAATTATTGTTAGCAAAGATTCCTGGAATAAAAAAGCCCATCTCCCTCATAAATATAAATCTCACTTCTAACTCCTCGCAGAAAGTAAAGGTAAGGGACAGACTCACAACCTCCAACCCCCTCCCACTCAAAATCCTCTCCGTAGTAGCTACCACATTCCCCCCATTCCTCTGCAAATCCCACATGATACTCCTTCTACCAACTTGCGGAAACATCTGCTGTATTCGTTCTACATCGGCTTCCCGAGCACGGATATTACTTGCAGAGTTGGCGGCGCGGTTTGTGGCAGAGGAAGGGGAAGAGAAGAAGAAATAGCGGATGGCGAGGGCGCCGAGGACGAGGATGATGATTAGTTGCGGGATATTTATCGTTTGGTCTTGGGATGGCATGATGGGAGATGCACGCGCCGCGAAGTGTGTGGGTAGGAGATGTGGTGAGTTTTGGGTGAGGTTCGGTGATGTTGGACGTGTCTTTATTTCAATCGTGATAACGCCTTTCGTTCAAGTGGGAATTTCTGGGGATGTTTGAATAGTGGCGACTATACCGAGCACCGTGTAGGATGTAATAAAATTCATTAGATAATTGCCATCCTAGTAATGGGACTATATCTAGGCTGGAACAAAGCTGGCCCAAAATTTGGGGAACCATAATTTGGCGGCATCACGTGCGCATTTATATCAGACCCTAGTGAAGGAAAACTCTGGACATCAAAGGCGGGATCGTCACGTTATGGCTTTATAGCTGTTTAGATAGGAGGGCGACGTGAGACATTGTCATTTTATGTCTCAATAAACCTATCTGTGGCTGTTATGCACACCACACCATGTTGCAGACGCTCATTAAACCGACATGATCCGCTCAAAGCTCCATGTGACCACATACTCCATTCGTATGTAAGGCAGAGAGTGAACGCCATCCATTTGAGATACCATGTAGTTACCAGGTTATACCTCGCAGCTTCCAAGCAGTTATTATCAAATCCAGCAACTCTTCCCGGTGCCAGTAATTGTTGTTGCTCAGTTTACCTAGCCATACGATAAGGAAATAGTCGAAACAAAGATTGCTCAGCAGCCCGAGACTTTATGATAATGGGCCTCGAGGCCCATTTGGAATATTTTCGAGGTCCTCATATACTAAGGTGAGTTCTCTCTGTTTGATGATTAGCCTGGGCTTTTGTCGAAGCATGGTATTGGACCTACTCGTTCTCGTTGCCATAGCTTGATATCAAAAAAAATATAGTATCCTCGTTCCGTACCATTCCCAAGAGCCTGCGGAACCATCATATCATCTTTGGTCAACCACTGCTGTAATTTCTTGTGATAACGCCAATTTCGATTATGCCTAGGATCAAATGTTAATGCTGAGAGGATGTTGTAGAGTTAAGATGCGCTTACAGTTCCTGCGCCGCCATGACCTGTTGGATGTCGCCCGGGTTGCTGTAGAACATGAATATCAAAGCTTCGTCATTGAAATTCTGTATCTTAGTTTCTAATGCCGCAACATTATGTACCCGATAGCATTCAGGAAGTGAAAAGTGAGGAACTGCAGGCCGACTTGGTTCATTATCCCATAACGAGTAGATTTGGGTGGAGAAAGGTCTAAAGATATTAGCACGTGATTAAAAACACTTTCAATTAGTCTGGTGAATTGGTACTTACTCGGAGGAATTGAGGTCAAAACCAAGGTTGGTGATATCTGAGCCGCTCACCAGAGCTGCGTAATCCGGGAAATTGTTCATCATGTAGGACCATCCTTTCAGACCCCATTTATCGATTTCATTCATATGCGTCAGTGGATCTTGA